ACCATAGGGTGGGTTGGGAGGTGGTGAGTAGGAGTAAGAAGTTAAGAGAGTTGGGGCTTGGGAACATTAGAAAGAGGAATGAGGCTTTATTGGGGAAATGGTTGTAGAGGTTCTCTTTAGAGATGGAGAAATTGTGGGTTAAGATAGTGGCTAGAATTCATGGACTGGAAGGTAGTGGATGGGATTCCGGAATTTTGGCAAGGACTACAAGTGACTCACCTTGGAAAGTTGTCCCATGATCTGTTATCAGTCTTCTCCCCTTTGGTCAGGTATGATTTAAATTCAGGCAACCTCATAAAATTTTGGGAACAAACTTGGGTGGGGAATGCCCCTTTGAAGGATCAATTTCCATCATTATATGCCTTCTTCGACTTGAAAAATGAGCCAATTTCATCCTTTCTTGTTCCATCATCTTCAAACTCTCAGTTTGGGTGGAATTTGGGGTTGAGAAGGGCTGTTAGAGACACAGACCTGAATAGTATTTCGACTCTCCTTGGTCTTCTTGAAAATATTTTCTTGTACCCCGCAAAGGAAGACACTAGAATCTGGACCTCCACCCCTTTGGGCTCTTTCTCTTGTGCCTCTTTCCTTAAAGTCTTAACTCAGCCTTCCAGCCCCATAGGCTCTCCTTTCCTTGTAAAAGAGATTTGGTGTAAGACAATTCCTCTCAGGGTTGGGAGTTTTTGTTGGGAAACTTTTCTAGAAAAAATCAACACTAGTGATCTGCTTCAAAAAAAAAGGAGACCCAAGACATGCTTATCCCCTCACTAGTGTGTTCTTTGTAAAGCTGATGAGGAGACTAGTTTTCACCTATTGGTTTCATGTCAGTTTGCAAGAACTATTTGGGAATAGGCATTTTCCCTTTTTGGGCGCAGCTGGACTCCTCTGAACTTGCAGAGCCTATTTTCTTCTTCCTTCTTCATGTGGCAGCTGAAAGGGGTAGGACTATGTGGAGATGTCTAGGGGCCGCTATATGCTGGTCATTGTGGGAAGAAAGGAACTCAAGGTTTTCTCTGAAAAAGAGAGAAGGGCTGAAAATCTGATAGATTTGATTAATTTGAGGGTGGTACAGTGGCTGAAATCTTTAGAGTTGTTCACAGATCCGCTGAGAAATTGGGGAGAGATTGCTAAGTGTACCCAGGTCAAAACAGGCCTGAGTTGTCCTGGACTCCTCCCCCCTGGTTTTATAAAACTGAACTTTGATGGTAGTAGTAGAGGGAACCCTGGGCACTCAGGTATTGGGTGTGTGTTTAGGGATGAGAATGGGACTGTTTCAGCTTTGTTCTCAAGCCCAATTGGAATGGGTGATTCTCTCAGAGCTGAGATTTCTGCAGTTGTGGAAGGTGTCCAAAGAGCAAAGGAAATGAACATTAGAAGACTTGTAATTGAAGGGGACTCAGAGGTGGTAGTATAGTGGCTGAAGGAAGACAAGACTGGGTTATGGGTATACAGCAATGAAAGGAAAAAGTTCAGGCGGTTGGTTAAGGACATGGAAATTAAGCTCAGTTGGGTGAAAAGATCTGCTAACTCGTTTGCTGGTGAGTTAGCCAAGTAAAGGGTGGCTAGGGAATCTATGTTCTAGGCTCAGTTGTAACTTCAATTTTTTTCTTTATGGGGACTCTAGCCTCGGCACGGGGAGTTAAGAAAGTTTACCTCCCTTTCTCTGTACCATTTTTTTTTCTGATTGATTAATGAAATTGTTGTTACTGATAAAAAAAAGGTTTAAAATTTTAGAATATCATCTGAAACTTTCTAATATTTCATAAAAACCATCACAATACTTTAAAAATCTTTTCCTAAAAGAATAAATTGGAGTTAGTGATCGGATGATTGGCATACTGCTCTAATATGATCTGCTTAGTAGGCCACTATAGTTTAAAGGAAAAAGGCACACAACTACAAATGAGGGTTCTCAATCTAATCAAAATGTATAGTGTAAAAAAGACAAAAGTCAAAACAGCAAGTAAATAACATACATAATGAAGAGAAGAAAGCTAAAAGACTAAAAGGGAGATGGAGAGAAAGCTGAAGTCTCTTAGTCTTCTCTTATTTGATATATACTGTTATTTTTGTGTAGTTTTCTGAGCCTTAAATGTGCAAATGTGCAATTATATTTATACCAATGATTCCTTGAAGGTTTATTAACTAATTCTATGTTTTTATAAAATCTCCCTACTTTTAAGGTTTTCCAAATATCTTATTGAAATATCCCTGAAATTTCCCCATTTTTGCATGGCAGAATGTCCATCGGTATTGAAATTGCGAACCATGGTTGTGCTTGATGACTCAACTAGTTCCCAAATGCTTCTTAATTCCAATGAAATAACCATCAAACTTTTTTTTTGAAGATAAATAAAAAATAAACTTTATTAGAGAAAAAGGAAAGGAAATTACAGCAGGGTGATAAGTAATCACCCAGCAATAGCAGAACCAAAAAAACAACAGACCCACCCTAACAAATCCCCTAAAAACAGAGAAAAAAAAACCTACAGATATACCAAAGCACCTGAAGAAATAAACCCATATCCAAATACAAATACCACAACAAAATCACAGAGGACCCTATCACCAACCCCTAAAACAAACACAATAGACTAAATATCCCAGAACCCAAATCCTGCCATAAGATACACGTCAAAAACATCTTGAAACCAAACAATCCAACTGATGAAAAGCTCAACTTAAACTTTATCCATTTTTTCATCATGCCCATTGTCTAATATAGAAATCTCTTGTCTCATCTGGGTAACTTTCTTTATCTTTCTCCCTTTCTTTTTTAATCCCGCTCCATATACTCCCACCATCAAGCTTAGGCATGAAGTGGTTTGACATTGGGAACTAAGAGTAAGAAGTTTTCACATGATGGGAAGGTCTGGAACCTGAAAACTTTTCTCCTACAACTGAACAAACTGATTGCCCTCAAATGTCCAAAATGGGGAACCATGTTTATCATGTCCATGTCAATGACCTCTTGAGGATGGTGTTGTCCCTGAAATATCTGATAATTCTTTATATCCCATATGCCATAATGGATAAGAGGGTCAATCGTATTATTAGGAAGAAACCGTTAAGTGTCAAAGATGACTAAGAATCAATACCAGACAACAATTGTAAAGAGGGGATTTGTAAACAAATGACTTATTGGCTCTATGTTTTCCATGACATAACACAATTCGGGAGATAACATGAACAGTTTACACCTTTTCTAATTTTATAATATAATGTTGGGTTTGGGCTGTTTCTGCTATATTTGGTAGAATTCAACTGTGTGAGGAGCTCCTGTATTTCCTTTTTGTAGTGGCAGGTGGTGTTTTGTGGCTGGCATTTCTTTAACTGTAATGTTCTTTTCTTTATTTTTCTTAAAAAAATATCTTTACTTGCCACCAAAAAACAATGAAAGAAACCATGTTACATCTTACAATGAGAATAGGTCTTGGTTAGAGGTATTATTGCATGGGACTTTGAAGAGAAAAAAAGAAAAGGACAACCAAATGAATTCAGAAGAATGGACCTTATGTCAATAGACAAAAGTCTGCCATTCAGGAAACTGATCTCCTTAACCTTATTGTCTTCAAGACCTCTAAGAAACTGAACTTCAACAAAGACTAGAAAGCCATTCAAACCTACTCTCTCTCAGCACCCTAACATTCTTTTATTAAGATATATTTGAATAATTACAAGGAGGCCCTTAGGTGGGCAAGAATTTACAAAGAACTTAATATAGACAGGATGGACCCAGAATAAGGCCCATTACAGAAAAGAAACATAAATAACAAGAAAGAATAAACAACCTATGGGCCATTCGGCCCATCTTCTCTACAGAAAATGGATTCCCACAACCAATAGGAAGTATTTCTCTCCTGACTCTTCCTGGATGCATGTGGCCCCTTGCTTAATTTTGTACACTGTATCCTAATTAATGAAATGGCTTTTTCTTGGATTCCCCAGTTATCCAAAGAAAGCTTCTGCTAATGTGATTGGTTCTCTTTAAACACTAGCAAAAAAGTAAACAAGCAGGTTACAAAAACTTAATTAATGTTAAATTGAAAAAACCAAAAGAAGAGAGTTATTACTTTTTTTATTCTTTTTCCTGTACACTCTATGTGCTTCATATTCCTTTCCATTTGATGTTTTCAAGTGGAGGAGCCTTAGAAAAATGTTTCCAAGCAGAGGTACCGAATTTTTTTTTTTTTGATAAGTAAAAGATTATTTAAATTTTCATCGGTAAAGATAAGCAACTGTTACAAGCTTCCCCAATGGAGGCACGAGAGGCAGCCTTACTCATAAAGAAAGGACAGCACAAAAATTACAATTGAGCCCAAAACAATTGATCACTATTTACCCCTTGCCTAGCTAAAGAATCAACCATAGCATTAGCCTCCCTCCCCATCCATTGTATAATCAAGCTCATCTGTTGTGTTAACCATCTGAATTTCTTCATTTTGTCTCGATAGCACTATATCACTGAGTCCGGATCTTTTATCCAGCCCACCATCACCTTGGAGTTGGAGTTCCCTTCAATCACCAGGTTTTCCAAGTTCATCACTTTTCCAATCTGAACACCTTGTAGGACTGCAAACAATTCAACCCTTATGGAGTCTCCATTCCCGACCGGTCCTGAAAACAATGCTACTAGATTCCTCTCCCTATCTCTTATGATTCCTCCAATTCCAGAAGGACCTGGATTGCCTTGGCTACTTCCATCAAGATTTAATTTCAAAAAACCTTCACTGGGAGGTGCCTATATCAACCTTGTTTTAGTCTTCTGTACTGAACTAGAAGCCACTGATAGCCAGTTCCTCCAAATATCATCAAAGGAGAACTGTCTAAACAGATCCAAAGTTAGTAGCCACAGAGGTACCAAAACTATTCAACCTTCTCAAATAATACGTTCATGTATTGTAATGACATTGATTGACATATTCTTTTGTATTCTCTTAGTTTGGATGATTTCTTCCAACCTTATCTCATAGGGATTGCTTTTTTTTTTTGAATTTCAGGCCCCTGATGAAGAGTTTGAAGAGTATCTTAGGCATCTAATAAGTGATCAATGTACAGGTGATAGGAATGAGGTAATTCAATCTCAAGATATTATGATGTGCATTATCTTTAATTAACAGTTATGAATCTTTCACATCAACATTTCTTTCTTTCTTTCTTTCCTTTTTTGGTTGAATGCCTGCATGGGCACCTCATAATGTGTGCCTTGTCCATGCCAGATATTTCGACTTTTAGTGTAAATTCCATGAGCTACACCTTATTGTCCATGCATTGTCCTTGCAGTGCCTATGCAACACAGGTTTTCATTCTGTATGTATTTTATATCTTAAATGTTTTATGTACTCTACCTATATTAAACAAGAAACATATTTTGGGGTTTTCTATTGACCAAAGAAAATTTTGGACATTGGCATTTATTTGTTCATGTTTATGCAAATGTAAGCACTATATGTTCAAATGCTTCTCTAGCATTATCTTCCTTTATGCTCTGTCTGGGAAGAGTGCAATGCTGGTTCAGTGCATATATGCACTCTGGTTCAGTTTTGCTGGTTTGGTAAGAATGCATTTATCTACTGAAAATGACGGCTTTCACAAATTCCAAGGCATGTTTGCATCCAAAATGAGAGCAAAAATTGCATCCAAAAAATGGATGCAAACTTTGCACTCAAAGTTGATCAATGTTAAAAGGGAATATTTCAATCTCGGGATTCATGTTTACACCCATTACAACTAAAAATCATTTGGCAAGAAAGTAAAATTTATCAATGCAAAACTAAACCAACTTTGCATTGCATGGACCAGAATGCAGTCTACATATTTGTAATTGTAGTCTATTTGCACTCTTCCCAAACGGAGGCTTAAGGATTAGATCAATTCTATAAATTTTAGTAGTAGATGGATGCTGCTAAAGTACATAAAGATGTTCAAGCTCGAAATGTGCTTCTGCATATTATATCTAGCTTCTCAGTATATCACTGTATATTTGAAGTGTCCTGCAGGCTGCAGTATTATATTGAATCATGATAACAGGAACATGGTTATTGATTCATTTATTTATTTATTTTTTACTTTGCCTTTATGCTTCAGTTGGCTCTATTGCCTGAGGGTATCACTGAGTTACTGCACCATGAAATGCTACCAGTGCCTTTGGTATGTGACTAGTAGCTACCATATTTAATTATGTTATTTGATGTAAATCTAGAACCTTAATTTTGATATTTTTCTTCAGAGCTTCTGTGTCAATTTGCCATATCACATTTTATGTGAATTTTCTTTTGGAAGCTATAAATATGTATATAAATGCATTAAATAACCATATTCTGTTCCCTGTGGTAGCACTGAAAATGTAAACTTGTCATATATTATTTTTGTGCACCTACATTTTGGTCACCCTTCATTTCACATTCTTAAACTGGCAAATTAGGGAAGTTGTCAATATTTTTTCAGCTATTTACTGTATTAATAAATCCTAAAATAGAAATGGAAACAGATAAGGGAATTTGATGTGGAGCAGGTAGCCTTTGTTAACCTACAATGAGATGATTGGCACAATTCTTTGTAAATCTATTCTTTAAACAGATCATTAAAATTATTTTGATTGTTGCTGATCATAAAAGGGGAAAATCCTAAAATTTGACCATCCGAACTTTAGCACTTTAAAGATATAAAATGGAAGTTTTTGTTTCCTTCAATCTTTTATTAACCTCTAATTATTTTGACTGAGATAAGCTCATTTTACTTGCTCTTCTTTTTTTTTCCTTTTTACATTTATAACTTGATGAGGCACAAAATGGAGAAACATAATTCCAAAAACATGGCCATGAAAACTCTGCTTCTAAGTTTTACCCATGCATGAGTACACATCCCTTTGAATACTTGAATATGCTGGCTTGAAGTAGATTACTGGCGGAACAGCCTGAAATATGGGTGCTACTAATTACACCCTCATTTCTTCTTGATAAAGTACCTAGTGTCATTCATCTTGGTAGAATATGGAAAGCCTCCTAACATATCATGGTAATTACTAAATCATTATTGAGGTGGTCAACTCATTTTTGAAGCCCTTTCCTTATTTTCTTTTTTCTTATTATTGTGTTTTACAAAACATGTATTCCGTGTTTCTTGTAGATCAAATGCCGAAATGTGATTATTCTTACTGCAACAAATATTACTGAGCTGAACAAGCAATGGGACTGTTTAATTGACTTAACCAGCTCTACTGGCCTGCTAGTTTTGATGGAACCATTTTTGTCGAAGCAATTGGCTACAACTCTTACAGATGTATGTGTTAATCTTATTACTTCATTCTTCTGTGAAATCATTTTCTAAAAGTTGTTGCTTAGGAAAGGTTTATCCTTTTGATTGGTATTTTTCTTTGTATGTTTCATTCGTTAACCTCAGGTAAAAGTTTTGAGCATTTCTTTTTCTTTTGGTTGGTTATGTATGATTACATTTTACTTGGTTTATCAGCTCTTCCATGAAATCTTTTATCTACAACATGGAGAAGTTCATTATTCTATTGGGACTGGTAAACCATCATATCCTATCCATATGCATGATTTCATTTTGAGGAGGTAGAAACATTGTTATCTATATACGTAGAGACATAAAAATCATGCCTTCCATTGTTGGACGTTGATTATCATGAAGGATGCAACTTGCGTGGGTATGATTGGATTTTGAGCCAACTAGGTGCAACTTGGGTGTTCTTGGGTTGAAGATTTGTTAAAAACTGAATGGGCCCACCCAGCCTGAGGACCTTGGCCTGCTGTGTAAATTCTTCAAATGAGGTACCTGATTTGCACTCCTAGGGCCAACCTGACATGCAAATTCATCAACTATAGTAGAACTCTGACTAAGCCAGTTGAGTTGGTTGGCTGGGTTAGGTCAGGTTCAGTTTTAAATGAAAACTTTCAAGTATGGAAACACCTACATTGTTCTAGATGGGCTGGAACCAGGTTATTTTACAAAACAATTCAACTCCATAATCACTAAACCGAGTATTGAAATCCATGATTTTATTATACATAAATGATATATTTGTATGTTTTTCTGTACCCCGCTTAAGTTAGGTTTGCCAATACCTCAACCAGGCCTAACCCTAGGTCGTAAAATACCAGTCTTTCCCAACCCAAAGTGCGGGCCACATTCAGGTTGACCCAACCAAACTTTCATCACTAGAGTAATTTACTTGGGAGAAAGTTTATGCAAGTGCCACCTTTATATACTTAAAATGGTAAAAGTATACATAGCATGCGGTTATCAAAATATAGTATATTTAGCATGTATAATTGTATTTGATCAGTACACATTCAGTATGCAACAATAAAGGCATATACTTGAATGAGCTAATTTCACATTAGATTGTATAGATGATATTTATGTAACTTGTCAAGACCTGAGTGGTATGGTTAGAAAAAGTTTTGTCCAAATGTTGGAAGTGTCTAGCATGGCCAAATTTTGGAAAATGGAGTATGCTTATTGCATGGAATCCTAAAAATAAGAATACTTCAAGGCAGATAAAACTAAAATGAAGCTATTCCCAGATGTATTCTTGTGGTATAAACAATTGTAAATATGTATACCTTAAATTTATATCATATGTCATGTTTTTTTTTTGTGCAACATCAGGTGGAAACTGCTCAACCTCTATCAGAACTCTGTCTTGAATTTCCAGATCTTTACATTGGTAAGAATATTCAGAAACTTAGGTCTACATTTTCCAAGATGTGTCATACTGTCATGGACCTGACATCCAAATGTCAAATTTTATGTTTTTTTTTTTTTTTTTGAGTTTTTAGTTATGATCACTTGTTTGAATTATTCAGGTGGTTTTCGCAAATCCAGAGTTGGACCCCTTATCATCAGTTTTGTGGGGAAGGTATATAAACTAAAAAATCTATTAAGCAATTTAAGTCATTTTACATCATAAAATGATCTACTCAATTCATAGTAACACTATTTGTTGTAGGACCAAGCTAGAATAGAGTTGGCTAAACAAGTATTATGCCAGAAATTTCATCCAGGAGCATTCTCTGAAGTCAACTGTGGGTGATTCTTCTCTTGTTTAATGGGACTGCTTGTCACTTTCTGGACCCCTCTCGAGGATCCCTATTTGATGGTGGCACTGCTTACCCAACCTAAAATGTGGTTCCACGTCTGGATTGAAAGAAGATTCCCTGGGCTTGTGCTTTGTTGAAGGAAAACTGAAGGCCAAGTGAAAACTATTCTTAGGAATTAGGATCCTAGACAATACCTTTATAATTTATGGAGCATATTCATATAGCTATTGGGAATAAACTGGTTAAAAGCCCCAGAATTTTCCATATAATTCTTGGAATGGTTTGGGCTCACAGCTTTCTTAAGTCAAGGTTGAAGTATACAACACGTGACTAATTATTAAGAAAAAAAAATGATTGTTTATATTTCACTTCTGCTTTATGTAACTAAGGTGTGCAATCTCTCGGATTATATATACTCAGTATTTTTAACTAGATCAATTAATGTAAACCCAATAGGGTAATGCTCAATTGCTCATGGATCTTAAAAGTCCGTTCCAAGGTTTTTTTGAATGCCTTTTATAGGATTTTCAGTATGGTGATCTTATCTGGTGTCATCAAATTTTGCAAGTAGTCTTCATATAATATTGCAAATCTGCACCTAGACTATGTTTATGGCAGAACTGCTGTGCTTCTGGTGCAGTCATAAAATTATTCTGATGAATCCCAACATTGTCGGCAGTTTCTCTTTATTTCTATTCCTAAAGTAAAAGGCTAATAAATAACAAGTAAAAAATGAAAAAGAAAGATAATTCTGTAGCCAAGCTGACGGGTCAGCCATGGCCATGGGATGAGCTTCCCAAGAAATACTAGTGGGCCCGTATCTTTCCAAAGAGAACGACTATTGCTACCAGTACCCATAACATCCAAAAATAGACTACAAAGAACACCATCACTAGCTTCCTTATTTTCAACTTAACCACACTCTAAGGCTGTGTCTGGTTTGAAAGGTAAGGAAGGGAAACCTCTTCCTTAATTGACTTAATTTCCCTTTCTTTTCTTTGAAACCAAACACAGCTCAACTTCTAAGAGACCTAAGACCTTTCAGGATGGTCATACACTCTACATGCCATTTCTGGGAATAATGTAGCTCATGTGATGGCCGGGCATAGTTTTTCAATTTCTTCTCTTTGTCATACTTGGACTTTGATTCTATACTTTTTACCTTCTGTATTGTCTAATGATTGTCACATATAATTCAATTATCTTTTTGAATTTTCAATTGAAATTATTAATTTAAATTTAAGACTATATGTTAACTAACCAATTAACAGTAATCATAAGAATGGTAACCAATCAGGTGGTATGTATCAAAATTCATAGGAGGGATTGATTGGTCAAAGCTCTTCGAGTACAATGTCTTTCCAGCAGTATAGGTTTTCCCCAACTTAAAATTCTACCTCTCAGGCTTCTCAATTGAGTATTAATGCCTGTGTGGATCTGATCTTTTTCTTTTTCTGTTTTGTTTTTCTCATGCACATGGATTCTGATCTGTTGTCACCTAAAATCCAAACACCATGGAATATAGCAGGGAGAGTTCTAAAATACAAAATTTCACTTCCAGGGAGAGTTCTAACGAACTACAGGATATGGAGCTGACATGGATTAGGAAAATGATCACATTTAAAAATTATGGTTCTCAGTATCAGTGATATTCAGGGAAATATCCCCAATATACCCCATTTTGCTAAGTGGCAAAATGAAGCTTTTCAAGAATATCTTTTTCCAAATATCCCTGATGTTTTATCGATGTGCTGGCGATATTTCAAATTTCATTGATAAACTATATATTTAAGGTTTAAAATTTCAGAATAACTTTTGATATTTTATTAAAATCATCATAATTTTTTAAAAGCATTTTCCTAAAAGAACCATTGGAGAATTGGTGATTGGATAATTGGCTTACTCTTTTTATATGATTCACTTAGTCATTACAATTCAAAAGAATAAAAATGCATATAACTACAAAAGAGTGTATTCTCAATCTAATCAAAGCATATAGTAACAAAAAAAAGATAGAAGTCAAAATGACAAGTAAAACGTACTTTATAAAAAGAAGATGACTAAAAGGCTAAAAGAAAGAAAGAGAAATATACCTATGAAAGTCGCTTAATTTACTCTTATTTGATTTATACGGTTTTTTCTATGGTTTTGAGCCTTAAATTTGCAATTATATTTCTTCTAATAATTCCATAAAGGTTTATTAACCAATTCCATGTTTTTAAAAAACTTTCCTGATTTTTTATATTTTCCAAACATCTTAGCGAAATTAGCAAAATATCTTCAAGATATCTCCATCAGTATATGGCAAAGTGTCCATCAATATCAAAATTACAAACCATGCTTAAAATAAAGATGATAAGAGAAACTTATGGGTTAATAGCAGAAAGAAAAGGAAAGAAGATCACAATTGATCCACAGAGTTCCTCACCTGATGGTCTGGCATAAATAATCCGGCCACTACTCTACATGGCTTACACCATTACTCCACAAGGACATTGTTTCATTCATAAAGCTTGAATTGTACTAGAAAGATGACTTTGTAAGAATAAGCACAAATATCATGCTGGAATTTATCATCAAGATTTTGTTTTTATATATTATTCATACAAAAACGATAATGAAGAAAACCCACGAATACAATTAAACTCATCTTTTTATATCATCCAGATGGTTCTCTCAAATCCAGGGTACATAACAAGGTTATCAAGAAAATAAATCATTTCACGCATCAAAATAAGTTGTATTGTATTCAAATTCGTTCTAGGAGTCTCAAAAAATAAATGAAGTTTAGTTGTAGAACTAAAGTCTTCTACCCAAACAAAACAATGTGCTAGAAGTTTTAACTGTAGTTTGCTCTTTTACAATAGTGCCTGCCAACCCCTGGAACTGTTGATAATGAGGAACCCACTTGACAGAGGCACTGCTTGTGCAAACTACAACCCTTTCTAGAGATAAATGTAAGATGGCCACTATGTGGATCTAGATTGGAAGGGGCACAAGGAAAATGGAAACCATTGAAAGAAGTCCTATGCATTGCGTCTGCAATTTAATGAAGATGATAATTTTATCCTGAATGAAACAAACTAGTGAAAATTTAAAAGGTCCCAAAATTTTCCCATGTAAGGCTTTGAAAAAAAAGTGGAAGCGGGTCATAAATTCTATAGATTACTTGTACCTTTGACTTTTGTTAGACTAATTACTCACTAATGTCTACACTATACTCAGCACAAACCAAGGTTCAAAGTATCAATACATATCGGCCCGTATCGTGCCGGGAACTTCCCGATATGTCCTTACAGGGGTTGTATAGGGTCAGACCATGGTTCAGAGGGTAGCCGGGACTTAAACCGACCCCTCTGAACCAGTTTTGAAAAAAAATAAAACATAAAACGTCTGAACATTGGCACAAACTATGCTTGAACAATGATAGAAATCTAGAAATAAGGTGGAATTGTAGAAATTTGTATACTGAATCCAGATGAGTTTTGACGTGGATGGTGATGATGTCAGCTCAATGAGTAATTAATGCAAGTCTTCCATGAGCTATAGTGTTTATTTGCTCTGATCTTGAACTGCAAATAATTTATTAATTTCATTCTTCCATTCTATGTCCTTGTTTGTCAAATTTCAGTATTATAATCTTCTTTCGCACTTAGTGATCAATCAAAAATAGAAGGCCTATTTAACAGTTAGAACACAGTTTATCAGGTCATGGTTTTCATTTTTTTTTCTTTAAACAAAGTTATGTAAGTTAAAGATGAAAAGGCACTTCTATTGATATAAATTTTATTTAGATACAACATAAAAAATTTTTGTGATGTGCATAGAAGACCATCAACAACACCTATAATAAAAAAATAAAAAAAAAAACAAAAAAAGATCTATAAACCAAAATGGACATCATGGGTCAAAGTAGTTAGAAATGATCTAAGCGTCCATAATTTAACAATAGACATGGCATTAAACAGAAAGGAATGGCGAAACAGGATTCATGTAGCTGACCCCATATAGTTGGGATAAGGCTTGGATGATGATGATGATGATCACCATATTTCAAATGAAAATATTTGGGCTTTTATTTCTGCCATTTTTACAAAAAAAAAGAAAAAAAAAACACTTATTTATACCCCCTCAAATTTGTTTTGATGTAAATGCCAAAGAAAATTAAGCTTTCACTGAAAGGGGGCAAAACATAATACATTTCAGCCTCAAAAACTTTCTGCCTATTTGACATTGAAAGAAAGGTGCCTAAGCTTGACCAAAGCAATTTGGTTCAAGTGGCTGAACTGAATAACTTATTGTCTTGTCCTTCAGTGGATAAAATAATTAAATGACAAAATATTAGGGAGTATAATAATCAACCCAACTTCAGCTTCTAGCCAGTAAGAGCTCATAACCTGTAACTTTTTCACTAAAAGACAAAGCAATAAGCCATTCAGTTCAGTCAAAGCAGCTGTTATCAAATGGCCCATAAGATTGAGCGTATTATTAAATTTGTTTTGTGGAGTACTTCTCTTTAGCAACTATTTTTTGGTATCTACCCTTGGGTGCTGAGTTTTCTCACTATTACATTGCATTTCTTGGCCTCCTTGAAGTGCTGACTAAACAAGTTTATTTATACAACCCTCAATTGTTTCCCAAAAAAAAAAAAAAAACTCTTAACTATGGTACTCACCTTGTCTGGTGGGTGAGGTACCCAAAGAGTTGCATAGGTTCATCATTTACAGGATTCATGTAGCCGACCCATATAGTTGGGATAAGGCATGGATGATGATGATGAGGAGGAGGAAGATATCAGAGTGGTTAAAGGTCCAATGCATATGTGATACTGTGTTTGGGATCCACCTCTACAAATAGCAAAGAAGAATGTTCGCTATGGGATGTGTGGCATGCAGTGCATTTGTAAAGCATATGTGTGTGTGTGTGTGTATTGTTGTTATTAACATAGAGCTATAAATTTGTATGTTTTTAGTGAGGACTGTAATCCACCTACATGAAATCCTTGGGATTGTTTTGATAAATAAATAAAAAATTGGATGAACCAAGTATAACCAAAATGGCAACCCCAGGCCCAAGTAAAATATTTACCTCAGTCCTTTGAGGTGGATCCATCCTTCCAACCCAAGAGAAAAAACATTCAAATTCAATGCTTCTTTGCAGACCGTGTGTGTCTTTGTTTTTATTCCAAATGGTGAGGATGATTCTCAAATACCTTGTTTGATATTCCACCTATTCCTTTCATCCCTAACCTAAACATGAACACTCACCCTTTCTGAAATGATGAAACCTATTCCTATCTCTAATGATTATTTTGCGATTAAAGACCTTTGAGATTGACTTTGCAGCAGAATGACAATCACCACAAACATGAAGATTTGTCACGACTCTTATGGCAGTCCCTGGAGCAGCCTTCAAGATCCCATAAGCAATGGCCAATTTCTCACTATGATAGAAGATGACTTGTTCCTTATCCTCATTATCGATGTCAAATAACACTTGAGCTCCATCTGGTTCATACCCCGCCCCTTTTAGTCTTCTGGTGATCTCTTCCAGTGTCAAGTATATCTCTTGGGTGTCAGGGTGTGATGTGTCTCCAGCCAAAAATTGGTGCATCTCACCTCGCAGCTCAATCAAACTCACACCAGGCGTCTTCCGCACTCCATGTGCTCTCATCAACTTTCTCACTCTTTCTACATCAGGCCATCTCTTTTGTGCAGCATAAATGTTGGAGAGGAGGACATAACGACCTGAATCATTTGGGTCCATATCGGTTAAAATCTTTGCCACATTCTCACCCATATGAACTTCATCATGCATTTTACATGCACCAAGTAGGGCCCCCCAAACACCTGCATCAGGTTTGATGGGCATGTTTTGAATAAAGCTCTCTGCCTCGTATAAGAGGCCTGCACGACCAAGAATGTCAACCATGCACCCATAATGTTCAGACCTTGGTTGGATGTCATACACCTGCTTCATTGCATTGAAGAATGTTTGACCCTCTTTGACTAGACCAGCATAACTACAGGCACATAGAACACCAAGGAATGTTATCTCATTTGGTCTTATTCCAGCAACCTGCATTCTGGAGAAGAACAAAAGAGCACTCTTAGCAAGACCATTCATGGCAAATCCAACAATCATGGCACTCCAGGCCAAAACGGACTTCCTAAACATTTCATCAAATACTTTTAGAGCTTTCCTTGGAGCCCCACACTTGCAGTACATATCCATTAGAGCTATCTCAATCTCTTCACCCTTTATATTCTGTTTCTCCATGCAAGAGTGAGTAACCTCTCCATGATCAAGAGCACCAATTAAACCACAGACAGTCAACACACTTGCAAGAGTGATCTGATCTGGCTTTACCCCTGAAATTTGCATTTCCCTAAAGAACTCCAAGGCTTTCACAATTTTCTTGTTCTGAGCATATCCAACAATCATACTGTTCCATGAAACCAAATCCCTTTGGGGAATTGCCTTGAAGTGCTGATTAGCAGAATCCATGTCCCTTGCCACTATAAACCCATTAAGCATTGCATTCCAAGATGTTGTATCCCTACATGGCATCTGATTGAAAAGTAAAGATGCACGTTCAACCTCCCCAATTCGAACAAGACCATCAACCATAGAGGTCCATGAGATAACCGTTTTCACAGACATTCTACAGAACAATTTTCCTGCAGAAACCAAGTCTCCAAGTTTTGCATACATATCAAGTAGACTATTTTCAAGATTTACACTCATCTGCATGTCCTTCTTTATTATATATAAATGAATTGATTTTCCAAGATGCAGATCCCCTAATTTGGAACAAGCAGAGAGAAGAGCAAGAAGTGTAACTGCACTGGGTTTAACTCCACTAGAACACATCTCACCAAATGCAATTAATGCATCACTAGGGCAACCATATTGAGAAAAGTTGCCAATAACAATATTCCATGAGACTAGATCTGGTTTACTGATTCCATTGAACAACTTGAAGATAGCTTCTGTGAATCCAAAGTTCTCATACATGTGCATAAGGGAATTTGAGACAAAAATATCCAAGTCATGCCCAAACTTAATGATGGAACTGTGGATGGCTTCACCATTTGTGGAGTCGGTAACCCTTGATAAGGCTTTGATCACAAAGGGGAATGTGTACTTATTGGGAAATAACCCAGAACGGAGCATGTGAATGTAAACAGAGATGGCTTCTTTAGGATTAAAGCTCCAAGCATAACCTCTGATCATGGTATTGAACATGAACACATTGGGCATATCTATCTGACTGAAAATCAATCGAGCATAACCCAGGTTCCCAGAAGTGGGGGTTGCACAAAAGGATAGAAGGGTGCTGAGAAAGATGGTTTCAGTGGAAAGGCCATTTGTAATAATTTGGCAATGAAACTTCATCAATTCTTTCATGTCTGAACAATGCTCCATCAGGAATTCATGCGGACGTCTTAGTTTGAGTAGTTTTGTGATGGAAGTCAGTCTCATTGTTGCTTTGAGGTATCAAGCAACAAGAAGAGCAAGTTATAATTGCTCAAAGTGATGCAGCCCTTTATCTGGCTTCCCAGATACATTTTGTGGTTACTTTTGGCACTGCAGAAAAGTATTGATGTTTGAACTTCATTACTGAAAAACTGCATAAGATCATGATTCTGCATCTTCTTTTTCTACAAAGGGATGTAGAGAAGATTTGTTTGGAAAAGAAAGCTGGATCAAGTTGAGGAAACTACACTGTACAAACCGCACAAAAAAATATATATATATGAAGATATATTCTTCGGGTGCAAATTGAACTGTTGAGTATGCATTGCTTCCGAAAGCGAGCTAGAAAGCATGTCTTCAGTGCAATGAATAAGAATAACCTGCTGAAAAATGAAAAGTTAGATACAAGTTTTGCTTGATAACCAAGTTCAATGAAGCAAAGACATAAAGAGGTCTTGTTGTCATACAACAATATTTGCCCAGACAAAAGAACTTATGATAATAAGAGATGAGGGAGAAAAGAAATGGAAATTATGAACGTTACAAAACATCACAGTAATACTGGTTACAAGTTACCTTGAGACACTCACTATCCAACTCCTTTAGAAGTTTCTGTATCTGAAAATATAGGGAGACATTCAATCAAAACTGATCAGATAAAGAGTATCTAAGAAGTAGATTAATAATCTAATGGTGCAATTACCTGATACCAGTTGCTCAACACCATACAGAAAAGAAGTTCTGGACCAACAAAAGTAGATGTAACTTGTCTATGGATGGGAGAAAAGCAAGTATTAATAGAACATTAGCAATTACCTGCACTGTCCCAGCAGCAACAAAGCCTGTAAAAGAAATAATAACTCTCGTGGCTCAGTTCATTTTGCAAAAAGAAAATTACGGAGATAGGGCAAGCACATAAGCATGATTGAGAAGGTAATGACAGAGAGTTTATAGATGTAAATATATAAAATAAGAGTAAAAATAATGATCTTACAGATGGGCCATATCTAGGAATATCAACATTTAGAGGAGCAAACTTTGAATCTTCAATTAATTCTTCCAGAACTCCTGCACCATGATATAACAAGGAAAATTACTATCTTTCAAAGAAAAGGCATAAAGAACTTTGCAGAAAAGAACTGTTAAGTAATTCACTCAGAGGGAACCTGTGCAATATGTTACAACACAAAGAAATACAAAAGAGTACATATGGAGAATTGAAGAACCCCAACAAGTTCCATGGTGTTGTAATGTAATAGCTCTAAGCTCTTGTCAGCTGGACTTCTGGTAAGATTCTAATGACTTTCCAATGCCATTGCCAGAGAAGAGAATACTAGCAATTGAGAAGATAAGAAAGTCTCAATAATAACTTGGAAAGAGGAGAAAGATAATTTCACTTTGTATATTCCTGCATTTTGAAGCTCAAAAGCATAGAGGAACATTTATAGGTAATTGTAATACCCCCCCCCCCTCCCCTCCCTAATAGTAGTTTATGGCGGATCCCTATTTATACAGTGTAAGTGTCTATGCAATATGATTACCAAGTTTCCCACTCTAAGATGGAAATTATAAACAAAGGTATCTATGGCTCACTTAACAGTTAACAAAAAGGATGTATATGCCAAGATAGACTTCTAGCTTATAAACCGCATGCCCCAACCACTAAGGGCTTTAACCAATGTGTATGGCTTTGTTTTAGAAAACAAAAACATCTTCTATTGGCAAACGCCCCCTAAAATGCTATCTCTCTTAAGACTCCACATAATAATAGACTGCAGATTTTTGTTGATTCATAAACTTACAAAGAACTCGTAAATAGAAGGAAAATTCCAGATATGCTTTCCTTTTGGAAGGGTATTTCAACCGCTCAATGTGTTGCCAAGTAGTTTTTATTACCAAAAGACATGTCTATTGGATTATCAGAAAGTCCGTATGGAATGCCAGTTCCTTATTTATGGGTCAAAACCTATTCAGGAATTGCAAGATAAGATTGCAAACAGTAAGGATACTGCTAATTGTAGAGCAAGTATTTCACTTAAACCACGACCACAATTCCCTTCAAGGAACAACACAAGATAAGACTGCAAAAACTGGATGCAACATGAGCAAACATTTTTTTTTGCTCTCACTCCATACAATTCCCCGAATACCCACAGTTCTTTTCTAGATATACATTAAGACAATTTCTTATATCAAAGCCATACAAAAATGAGTAACATTTTTCCTGAAAGAAGCTAACTTCCCTCCTGTTGATACAAGTTATCTTAAAACACCTTACTATCAAATTAATTCGCCATCATAAAGCAAACAAATTCAAGAGTAGAGGCATTTCCAATGCCTTGCATCAGAAATATACATCATGTCCACAAAGTAATGAGAAATGATGGATGATTGAAGAAATGAAAACACACCATCATAAGATGCTCTGGACATTACTGACAAAATAGTCGCCCTTCGCGAGACTAAAGACGGGCATGTGGGATTTGAAGGTGAAGAGAAACAACGATTAGCAAAAGGCTAAGGCAGGAGATTGACTGTGTATATTCTTCTTCTTTTTGGTAATCAACTGTGTATCTTCTTCAAGGACAAGTGAACAAGCCCGCCCTCTCAGTCTCAGTCTCAGTCTCAGTCTCAGTCTCAGTCTCTGATAAAACTGGAAATAGAAAATTACTAAACACTCCCTGTATCTTTCTGACAAAAACTTAAACACCCCAGTATTCTCTAAATGTTTTATTGAATAACCTCCCCCTATTTTAACCTCTGCATAAACCTCCCTTCATATTTCAAATGAACAGACAAACGCACCCTTCTATTTATTTATTTATTGCTCCAAAGGGCTAGAAAATGGGGTGGCCCATCCCCAAACCCATAAACCCCCAACCAATTTGGTTTATTCGGTTAAAAAACTGAATCGAATAAATAGAATTTTTAAAAACCGAACAAAAACTGAATTATTAAAGAACCAAGAACCCAAAATCAAAATTTTTTATTCAACTTTTTGTTATGTTGGCTAAAACCAAATTTCATTAATACTATACTAATACAAATAATATATAATATTATATATATTATATTATACATATATAATAAATTTTGATTAATTCTATTTCTTCAATGAACCAAAGTTTTAATCATGAATGCCGAAATTGAAATTTTCAGTTTGGTTTTTAACTGAACAATGCTCACCCTACAACCAACCACTCCTTCTGTTGATTTGTGTTAATTAATATAAAAAATTGTTGGTATTTATTTAATAAATATTTTGTACAATTTTATTTCAAAAGTCAGGACAAAATCTGTTTTAAACATTTTTTAACAGCTCAATGCCACTTGTAGCATTAGATGTTATTACTCATTTGGGCGCCATATATGCTAAACAGTAAAACAAAAAAAAAAGCTCTTGAAAATGAATGATAAATGATTCTCACATAAATTGAGAGAAACATTTATATGATAAATATCCCAACCAAACAATAAATTCAACATTTTTATTTTATTAAATGCCTACACTACATGGTGCTGAATGGCATCATTTCTCTGAAAAACACTACCCACACTAAACATAAACCATCTAAAAACCTTTCATAATTAAAGAACCTTATTAGAATAAAGTTTTATCAAAATCTATCTATCATCTATACTATATATAAAAGTGTGAATAGTGTATAACTTCTTTGGACTAAAATTATCCTATATTTCTTTGTTTGAGAAAGAGTATAAAAGTCATTTTATTATAGTTTTAATGTCCGTTTTAGTGACTAATATAATGGCCATATTTGTGTATTTAATCCATCTCTAATTATAAAGATTAAAAATGTAACTTCAATTATTACTTTTCACCTCATTTAATCCCCTTTCATTAAGTCTTATCTCAATGTTCATCATCACAGCCACTACAGCACCATTTGCCCTCTTCTTACAACACTCTCATCTCTCTAAATCTCTTTCAAATCTCAAATCATTTGCTTCATTAGTGATTTGGTGTATCTCAGATTTTAATATAAGATTGGTATTTAGTCTCTCATCTCTTGCATCGATTTTTCAATTTCTTTAATGGAGTTACAATTTTTTTGCTATTACAACTTAAAAAGAATCACAAAAATTAAAAAAACTCAAAATCAAAATAAAAAAGAAACTAAAAACCCTAACTAATTTTGGCCATCGGGAAAAATCAAACAAGATTATGAGATATGAAATTTTTTTATTTTTTATTTTTTATTTTCTAAATTCTATTTTAAAAATAAATAAATAAATAAATTAGAATTGGTTTAAAAGTAACCCGAAAACAATTAATCAGGTCGAACAAACGAGTTAGTGGTTCTCTGACCATTTCAACATTTTTTTGTTTTTGTAAAATAATGGTTCAGGGCCAAAATGGAACTAGTGACTTGACTAATTCTCGGGCCAAAATGGTTTGACCGTTCAGTCTGGTCTGATTTTTAAAACAGTGACCAAAATACTCATTTTTTAATTTAGTCCCTATTTAATAGTAAGGCTTAAATTGTAAATTGAATTACTACTTTTTGCCTCATTCCCTCTATTTAAATCTTACATTTTTTTGATAAATGAACAAAAGAGAAAAGATAAAATACTACAAAAAGAAGAGTCTAGCCAAATAGGTAGGCATGTCAATAATACTTGAAACTTCATAATTCGATCTAATTATCATATATTTGGATGAGGTGTTCATGTAATCAAATTTGAATTTTGTAATATGCATTTGATTAATAATAAAAAACAAAATAAAAATACATAAAATTTTGGATGTATTATTATTATTATTATTTTCTTTATTATTATTATTATTATTATTATTATTATTATATATAATTTCCACATGCAAAGCACATGGGCACTTATTAGAATACCCTTATTTTTTATTTTGGTCCCTCTCCAATTATGAGGATAATTTGAACTATTACATTTATCCTCATTCAATTCTCTCTCATTAGGCTGCATTTGGAAACGATGCAAATATGTAGAGTGTAAAACAGTCCATATAAATTGCAAAGTTGGGTTAAATTTGCACTAACAAATTTACCTTCTTATCAAACAAACTTTTAGCTGTAATGGATGCAAACACAAATTTCAATAAAAAATATGTTTTTTGTTATCAAAAGCCCATTTGAATGCAAATATACTTCTTTTTTATTGGTGTACTTTTATATCTTATTATCAATGTAAATACGCATTGGTCTGTCATTTGCCAATGCATAAATGTAATGTTGCCAAACACAGGCAAAAGTGAACTAGAGTGCAAATTTACCTTGAACTGGGATTTACACTCCATTTTGCATTGTTTCCAAACACAACCTTAAGTCTTATATTTAGGGTATTAACTCTCATTTTTTTCATAGAAACCTATATTAATTAACTATATTAAGATTGTGTTTGGTTGCAGTGCAACTTTATTTGCACTAATACAAATGCATGGGAGTGCAAAATGTAAAAAATGCAAATTCTTGTTCAAGTTTGCTTTGGATTTTACTTTATATTGCGTCATGTCTTAATTTACTTCATTTGTACTGCAATCAAACAAAATAAGCTAAAATTTGAAACAAAAACAGGTCAAAATTTACACTCAAATCATTTGCGCTGCCATGGTTTTGCATCAGTGCAAATTTATTTGCATTGCAACCAAATGCAGCCTAAAGAAAAATAAATATGACAAATAAAATTTGTTTTTAAAAATAACATACAAATTTAAAACTAACCTAGATATGGAGTTATTTTCCGGTTTGGTGGTGAGTCAACAATTCAACCTATTGGGGCAAATGTGTCAACCCTTTTAATGTTATAATTAAATAATAATAATAATAATTAAAAAAGATGAAAACACACAAAAGTATAAAGATACAAAAAATGTAGAAAATATTTGGGCATGTATCTAATATTGTATATTTCATCGTATTAAACAAAAATAAATGTGACAAATAAAAATAATTTTTATAGACATAAAAATATAAAAAATTATAAAACTTTTAGAAACATATTATTTACTATCACCATCATCATAAAAAATTGTCACATGTGCACACTTACTAGAGGCGATTCCTTTATTTAAGTGGATTTCAAAATACCGTATGTTGTGTGACACGTACTATTTAAATGGGTGGCCAATGGAGGAGAATTGGCAATTGCCATCCAATGGTGCGGAGTGGACTTTGGAACATGGCACCTAAAGCACTTATTAAATGAAATCAAGGTTTTTAAAATCGACCCGAACAACGAACTGGTCAGGGGTCCGATTCCTGGGTTGAATGGTCCAATCATTCGAACCGAATGATTGGCCAGTTCTGATCAAAAATAAAAAAATTAAAAAAAAATTATCAAAACTATTAAACGTTTCGAACAATTCAACTACTTGGGTCAACAGTTTGCTGACCAAATCAATATTTTTTGGCAAAAATCCGATTTTGGGCAAAAATGGAACCAGTCACCTGACCGGTTCCCAATTTTTCTGGTCCGACCGTCCCGCCCAGTCCGATTTTGAAAACTATGAATGAAATACTAAGTGTTTAGCAAGCCTGAATTTCCAGATAAAATGGATACTAGGGGGGATATGATTTCCATAGCCAAATAGCCTTGCAAATGGGGATGCAGCCCGACATGGTTGTTTTTTTGAAGGCCAGGGTTTTTTGTATAATATGGGGAGTTAGTCTTAACATATTGTAGAAAGGCTTTCAATTCATAAGCACATTACTTCGAATTCATCCGCTGGTACAGAAAATTGATCAATATTAATCTGCCATACCAGCCTGTTTTCCCATTTCGAAATTAAAGTGACTTTTTTAAATGATGTGGCACAGAAAATTTTCTGTACGTACCAAGGGAACAGACGATGTAAAATCCATTACTTCTATGAATTTAACTTCTGGAAGTTAGAGCCTCTAATTCCTCGTATCAATTTTTCTATCTATGGCGTTGCAGTATGGGAGCAGTACCAGTATGGAACTGTTCATATATATCGATCCTTCATATGGGACTCCGGAACTGATCAACACAACAACTTTGACTTATGTGAATGGCTTCGTATTGACAGGTTTTCTGGTGAGGCTTATCCCATCTTTAGTTATGCTGATTAGAGGTATAATAACAATGTGGTTTGTATGGAAGATGTGAAATATGGTTTTCTTTGAGAGCAAATCAGCAAACCTTTCACCTCACAGTCACATTCTTGCATCTAAGGGTGTCAATGGACCGGTTTTGGATTGGATCGTCCAAAACATTTTGGATGGATTGGATGGATCAATAAGACATATTGGACTGAATTATCCAAAATATTTATTAGATTGGATTGGACCTGGTCCATCATCCTTAATAAATTTATATTGGATTGGGTTGGATTAAGTCAATATCTGGTCCATTGATATAAGATAAGAATATATGTGTCAATGGACCGGGTTTGGGTTGAAACCAATCTAAATCAAAATAAATTTGAACAGATTATACGGTCCAGACATTAAATTGGACTGGTCCAAATTGGTCCAAGACATTCATTGGACTGGATTGGACCTGGTCCATTTATAACGGACTCACATTGGACTGCATCGGGTTGGACCAAATCCAGTCCAATTGACGCCCCTACTTGCATCAATCAATGAATGCTATATCAGTCTAGTGATGGTACAGTCCACTAGTTCTTCAAACAGATACTGCTCCCCCCTCCTTCAATATGGTTATCAGAGATGACATTGGTACTTTTATAATGGGGAGAGCCTTCAAGTATTCAATTGTTCTTCACCTGAAGAAGCTGATTCTTTAGCATTTTGGACTGTCAAAGCTTTCTTTTGACCTTTTCCTCTTACATTGTGCAACATACGTCTAGTTCTTGTAAAATTGTAATAGGATGGCCCGTGGAGTATCCCATTATGCTTTATCTCACAATGACTCCATGACCTGGTCTCACACTGAGCGAGATGTAATGATGTTGATGAATGGAATTCTTTGCCTTGTAGCTTCGAAAAAAAACGATAACCATATAAAAGACACCTTTCATGATTTCATTCTTCAACAGCATCCCCGTGGGGGAGACAGAGGCATGCAATTTTATGTACTGAAAATTTATCAATGGTAGAGTTTGTTTTTGAAAAACCCCAGCAACAACTAACGTGTTGTTGGCAGAAAAGCCTACATCCCAAAGTGAGGAAAACAAAGACAAGAGATGGGTGAAATGAATTCTATAACCCCTAATCTACTACTGCTTAATTGCAAGCTAGGACTTGTCTTCTATCTTGCTGCTCTTCTTTTTCAGTTTCTATGAACTGGATGGTTGAAGTTGAACATTAATCTGATAGGACATGTTAACTTGTGGATGCTTTATCTTCTTCCCTCAGAGGAGAGGAGTAGCCAAACCATAAAAAAACAGTACTGGCTCATGCTTTATCATACTTGAGAGGTTTGACAGTCTCCCATGTGAAATCTGGGTCAGCACGGCCAAAATGCCCATAGGCTGCAGTCTTCTGGTACCTGAAGTTACCTCCTCTTTTGAGGTCTAGGTTAACCGCAATCATTCCTGGTCTGAAATCAAAGTTTTCCTTGATAAGAGCCAAGATGTCCTTGTCTGGAATCTTCCCAGTCTGGTATGTGTCTACGAACACAGACAATGGCTCTGGCACACCAATTGCATAAGAAACTTGCACAATGCAGCGACGAGCAAGCCCTGATGCCACTACACTCTTGGCAGCCTGTCTAACAATGTAAGCACCACTACGGTCCACCTTGGTTGGATCCTTGCCAGAGAAAGCACCTCCACCGTGAGCACCCCATCCACCATAGGTGTCAATGATGATCTTCCTGCCAGTGAGCCCTGCATCACCATGGGGGCCACCAATGACAAAGCGACCTGAAGGGTTGAGGTGGAATATGGTCTTCTCATCAAGGTACTGGGATGGGATAACTGGCTTGATCACATGCTCCTTCAGCTCCTTTGCAATCTGATCGTTGGTTACAGTCTCATCATGTTGAGTAGAGATGAGTAGAGTGTGGACCCTGATAGGAACCATGGAACCACCATCATTTCTGTACTCCACAGTCACTTGGGTCTTGCCATCAGGCCTCAGCCATGGGCAAGTTCCGTTCTTCCTCACCTCAGTGAGCCTGGCGCCAAGTTTAGTGGCAAGGACGTGGGTGAGAGGCATCAACTCCGGGGTTTCATCTGTTGCATAGCCGAACATGTGACCTTGGTCACCAGCTCCAATTTCCTCAGGCTTCTTTGTGAGGTGACCATGAACACCCTGGGCAATGTCAGGGCTCTGCTGTTCGATGTTAACAAGAACTTTGCATTTGTCAGCATCGAGACCTACATCAGATGACACAAATCCAATGCCTCTGCAAGTGTCACGGACAATCTTCTCGTAATTGACTGTGGCCTTGGTGGTGATCTCACCAAAGACCATAACCATGTTGGTCTTGGTGCAGGTTTCACAGGCAACCTTGCTTTCAGGGTCTTGTTCTAGGCAGGCATCAAGGATGGCATCGGAGACTTGGTCGCACAGCTTGTCAGAGTGGCCCTCATTGACGGATTCGGATGTGAACAGGAAGGTGTCCATTTCTGCATTAGAACAGATGTTAGATCTTCTGCAGTACATTAGAAAGGTATGAAAAAGTATTAATAAAATAAATACTATCCATTAGAAGAGGAAAAAAGAGATATAGATGACAGAACATGTGTAGAGCACTCAATGTATTTTCTGCACTAAATAAGGACATGAAATCCCAACATAGAAAGCCTAACAAAATAAATACCATCTATTTGCAGATTACATTTTTCTAACTTTTCCAATTGGATAGAAGAATCATATTTGCCCAGTTTGGATTGAAAGAGATACCATTATTGATTTGAGATACCACTTTGATTGTGGTCAAACTAAAGATTATATTGATGCCAAAATAACATAGGATTAACCATTTATTAACATAGTATGAAGTGACATTAAATTAAATTTCCCATGAAAAATTCCATGTTTAGACCTATTGAACTACCAACACTGTTAAATGGTTCGTTGTTTGATTGATTCCAAATTATGTTCGGTTCCACTTTATTAACCTGCACTTGAAGAAACGCATTGGGAGAATCCGATTCATAAAGCTTCCGGAATGGAAAGGCTAATTTTTCTCCAAATGAGCTGAGAATTTGGACCTTACCCAGAGCAGTAAAGGATTAAAGACGATCTTACTTACTATTTATCCACGGTACACGAGTGACGATTGGTAAATGATTAATCTAATAAAATTTATGACAAATGCACATTGTTATGATATACATTCTTTTAGACCGATGACAGTAGGTTCTGTAACTGTAAGTAAATGAAAAAAAAATCTGGAATTCAAACAGGAAAGACCCTAGATCTGATCTGCGAAACTAATTACATCTGAAGAATTAAACAACTGCTGTGACTGTGAGGACTAAGGAACATCTGAAGAAGCAAAAAACACGAATGGATAAATACAATTAAAACATAGATTTATGAAACGAGCCAGAGAAAAAAGAATTCAGACGTAATTAAAATGGTAGAGAAGCGACTATATTCTTGTCAGTAGTTAAATAGTACGTAGAATACAACTAAAATCATTTGGAAACGAAAAAGAATTCTTCGAGTCATAGCATCCAATCAAACAAGCAAGCTAAGTAAACAATGAAAACAATAACAACAAACCAATGAGATCCAACCCGATCATCAACTATCAGATCAAAGCATTACAGGACTGAAACTTACAAACAAATGCAGTAAGAATTGAACAATTTTTATATTCAAATCCATCCGAAACATATAACGAAATCCACACTTGTTCGGATGATGATCAGGAGAGAAGAAAAGAGAGAAAGAGAGAGACCACTGTAGCACGTACCTCTGTTTTTGTCTATTGACAGTGAAGAAATTGGAGATTGAAGAAGAAAGAAAAGGAAAGAAGGAAGGGAGCTGCGGAGAGAACGAGAAAGTCGAGAGGGAGGAATGTATTTATAGGAGGCCGAAGAAGAAGGTGGTGGACTGGTGGGCTGGGCTCTGAACTGAGACCCAATCTCGTCAGACTCGCTCCGTAGTCAGTCCCCCCCTCCCGTCCTTTCCGAGACAAGCTGCTCACTGATCACTGCTCACCTCCACCTCAACGCCACGTCATCTAATGTGGCCCCCATCGCTTTGTTGGCTTGGCGTGATTGTATCTCAGCTATGTTACAATGAGGACGCCCTCATCGTAGCAGCACTACGCCACTTCTATTTACTCACTCATCATAGGTCGTCCTATCTATTGGAGTGTCTTGGACGTGGTGGGCCCAGGATGTGTGGTTGCGATCTAACGTCTATAACTTGCCGCCTATTGCATTTTTACCACTTGCGCATTACTTACGTGATGTTTAGTACCGTTTACGTTTATTGATGTTGCCACGTAGGCATCATCTCAGCATTTTCTCTTTCTTGTTCTTATGCATACATCGAAAATGTAAAAAGTGAACTTTGGTTTATATGCATGCCAGCCGTTTATAGCATTTATTTTTTGAAGCTTCCACAAATGGCTTCGCCACTAGGCGCCCAGTTGTCATAGACGATTGCAATTATTACATTTCTCGGTTTTACCAACAAATATAGTACAAGCGTTTATTCAATAAACATAAATGGTACCATTATGAATAAACGTTTATTGATGGTGCCACTTAGGTGCCATCTCAGTATTTTCTCTCTCTTGTTCTTCTGCATACATTGAAAATGTAAAAAGTGAACTTTGGTTTATGTGCATGCTAGCCGTTTGTAGAAGTTATTTTTTGAAGCTTCCACAAACGGCTAGGCGTTTATTCACTATTACACTGAAATGGTGTCTAATGGTGCCCAGTTGTCATAAACAGTTGTAATTATTGCATTTCTGGACCAGCATATAAAGTACAAACATTAATTCAATAAACATAAACAGTACCAAACACATACATAGTAAATCTAGTTGGGCTCCACTGGAAAATAATCCTGTAGATTTTTAAATTTTAACCGAGTCCAACTACGCTGTAGAGAATGTGCATCACGTTTAAAAAATCACGTGTTTATTCTTAAGGCTGCGTTTGTTTTCGTTGTAAATACGGACCAGTGTAAAACTCCATTTTTGGTCTATATTTTGTTGGTGTTTGTTTTGAATGTAGTTTTATGTTAAAAATCGATGTAATTAATTTCATTCATGGTAGAGTTTTGCATTGTTAATCGATATAAAGACAACATCAATAAAATCAATGTATTATTTACATTGATAATTATGTCTTTTCACTTTACAACAGTTCACTCATTTAAACCAATCGATGTTGAAGTCCATCGATGTGCTTTTACATCATCAAAAATTTACACCGAAAACAAACGCAACCTACAGATTTTAGTATTACTTGTAATATCTCACTCTATCACTGGATCCATTTGATTTATTTTGTAGATGTAGATTTTTAAATTTTAATTGAGTCCAACTACAACGTAAAACAACATCTGTAATAAAAAAAAGTAATCACATTAAAAATGTTAAAATCTATGATGCGGGAAATACATCATACCGGTTGATTGGTTGTAAGTTTTTCTGGTATCATGTCTTTCCAGCATCATAATCAAACTCTATTATTTGTAATATCTCATTTTATCACCAATTTACCTTTTTATTTTTACTTCACATGCAGTTTTTGTACCATAAATTGTCTTTCTAATTCTGTTATCGCCATGATATAACATTGATTTAATGTTTTTAATTTCCATTCTTATTTTTAGTATTTCACTAGGGCTGTCAATGGACCGGATATTGGTCCAACCCGATCCAGTCCACTATGATTCCATTACAGATGGACTAGGTCCAATCCAATCTAATGAATATTTTGGACCAATCCAATTTCATGTCTAAACCATCCAATTTGTTCAAATTGATTTCAATTTAGATTGGGTCTAGCACAAACATGGTCCATTGAAACCTGTACTCTTATATTTTGCTAATGGACCAGATATTGGTTCAATCTAACCCAGTCCAATTTAAATCCATTATGAATGGATTAGGTCCAACCCAATCCACTAAATATTTCGTACCATCACATCTCTGCCGTATATTGAGAACATCTTCCGATGATAGTTCCAGAACCAATGATATCATCATTGGGAGATGTTCCCAATACACAGCGGAGATGTACAGTAGGACATTATAGAGCGGAGATGTGAACCATCAAAGCCGTGTGATAAATATTTTAAATCTTGGCAAAATTTATAAAAATTATTGCAACATAATTACTAATCATTTTGTGGCAAGATATATAATTCTTAGCCCACAACGCTAGACATCCCCTTGACCAGTGGCCATCCTCCGTTGTAAAGGCTCCGTTTAGAAGGAATATAAATACAAATATGTAGAGTGTAAAACCCTGTATTTTATATTATTTTATATATATTTTTACTATATACAAAAGAGTTGACATTTCCTATTTCCAATAGCCATGATTTTTTTTTTAAGTGAAAGTTTTTACAAACAACCAAACTATATTTCAAGACAAAGATTTCATTTTCCGAGTGACATAAGGTTCTCCCAAGGAACAAGAAATCCCTTCATAAATTTTTGGGTGTAGTTGATGAATCTGCACCACGATGGATGAATCCAAGCATTAGCAAAAAACTATTATTTAGAGTTGAACCCTCAAACCAAGGGTCAAAATTTCACATGTACCAATCCGACCAATATTTATCATATCGATAGGTCACTGATTCTTTAAATAAGATTTTTTGGGCTTCTGACCAGTTTCAGGGGGATAGGCAGGCAGAGACGCCAGGTGTGAGGAGCAGATCCGGTCTCCCTGACCAAACAAACATAATTGATGTATTGATGCATCGAAGTTTGAACCATGCCTCAAACAAATATATAATTGGTGTTGTGTTGTGTTCTAAAAGTGGACAATTAATTCACCAAATTTCCACTCTACCGAATACCTACTTAGTGTGACTAGTGAAGAGCCACATGTATTGAACAAATGGGAAAATATTGATGGGGTTTTATACAGCTTGCAAAAGACATTGGTGGTCGCATTGACAGGAAGCTGTCTGCAAGTTTTGTCATTATATAGAAAATATAGTTGGGGGTAATATGCACTTGCAGCAAATTTTGAATTTATTTGCATCGATTCAAATTATGATACATAGAGTTACAATGTCTCACATGCTAGGGATGAATTCCATAACAAAATCATTGCAAAAACCTACATCATATGAATTGCTGATCATTCTTTTACTCCTCGTTGCTTCTATGAGGACTGTTTTATAGTAAACATAAAAGAATTTCATTAAAGAATTGCAAATACAGTAGAAAAAGAAAAAGGTCAATAACTTAGGCCAAGTTGAAGTCCAAGTGCAGCATGGATAAGAAACAGAGTCATTATCCCACTACCCAAGATCCCATGAACATTCCGTAGTCCAGGATTCCCCTACAAAAAAAAATATATAAAACCAGGCACGAGTATAGTGAGACAAAAGAAGCATATTAATTCAATTTTGTTTTATATGTGGGATCTATCAAGGAAAACCATAGTATCATTAGTTGAATTCATTGAAATCTCCTAGACCCATCCTGGGCAGTGGAGATCAGCTTAACACCAAGTAATAATCAGTATATCAAAGCAAGTAAGCTCTATATCTCATTTACCTCAAATAGTGCAGGCAAAATGGTCTGGATTGTCAAGAGAGCAAGGCCAATGAAACCTGTAACAGCATGAGGACTGCAAGTAGAGATATTAGTTAAATACACTCTAACTGTTAAGAGAGAAAATTTACCTTCCTATTCATTTTATCTTTGTTTTCCCTTGAAAACGAATCTCTTTTAGATTTTCTTCTCTTTTTCTTTTTCATTTTTCATTTTCTTTTCTCTCTCGAGTGACAAGTCACTCTCCTTTGTACTTTCTTTTTTAGTTCTAATAAATTTTATTTTTCTTACTCCCCCCCGAAAAAAAAAAAAAAAAAAAGGCATTGCATTTGATAGAATTTGTCTTGTTTGGAAGCTTGTGGTTTATATAAGGAAAAGGTTGGGTTGGTTGGTATATTACCAAAGGAAACCAAACATTTTTCTTTTGGAAAGGTGCTCTTTTGAGTCATCATATATAGAGGTAGCCAAGAGAGATGTATTTAGTAGAATGTGCTTTTTGCCCAACGCTTCTGGCTTTGAGATGTGCTCCCTAGTGTATAAGAGAGGAAAGAAAGAGTGGATGTACAAAGCTTCAGGACTAGACATGAGTAATATCACAAAACCCTTCACATTTTCTCCATTCTCATTCATAGTAAAGAACTGATTCGTTTTGTCTTTCAATATATTTTCCTTAGTTGAGGTTTAAATTAGGGGTGCTCATGGCCAGGCCTAGTATAAGTGGGCCTCATGTAGGCCCTGGCCTGGCCTGGTCCTCACCCTAGCCTCCGCTCTACATAGGCCTGGCCAGGTACCCAAGCTTTCTGGGAAAAACTTTGGCTGTTGGGGGCCAACAGCCTATGCTGCTGAGAGTATTTCTGGGAATGCCACGTTACCATGAGAGTGGGTAAATTAGTAAGTGTCTCCTATTTTATTTTGACCAAAATGAAAGACATGGGCGTGAATAAGTGAAAGTGCCCACCCCAAAAATGCTCTCAATATGCTGTTGGCCTCCAACAGCCAAGGTTATCTCGACTTTCTTGGACTATATATTTTATAGAATTCCAAGCTGGGATAGGCCTAGATCAAAAATCTAGGCTCAGACCTGAAAATTTGTGGGATGGATGGGCCAGGCCTTTCTATTGTGCTAGGAATGATCACTTGTTTAAACCAATGGATTTCCAAGAGTACTGATGTGGGAGGAGATTCACTCCAATAATGGTGAAAAACATAGGTATTAAATAAGAGTGCGGATCTGCTCCTCACTGAGTGCACCTCACAGCCCCATCCCACCGTGTATTGGAAGCATCTCCTGTACTTGTGTGTTATTATAGGGAGATGTTCCCAATACAGGATGGGACGGGACTGTGAGATCCATGTGAGATGCTCTCTGTGAGGAGCAGATCCTGATTCATTAAATAAAGTCCAATCCCAGGATGTTGTGATTCAAGATGACCTAAACTATTTATTGGCATCACAGAAATCCAATTTTGGGGGACTACCTCTCAAAGATGGGTCTATCAGAGGTTAGGAGAGATGTGATTCCACCAGTTGCACCCAGAGCAAAGAAGAAGAACATTCCAGCCAGTAGCTTTGGATGCAAGTCTTTTGCCATGGCCTTCTCCTCCTGAAATGATAAAAGAGAAACAGATATTATGGACAGTAACTGAAAATAAGTGAAGTGCATAATCCTTTCTTAACCAGTCAAATGCTTTACTTGAGATCACAAGTTTCAGTAAAAAAAGCTTACCACATCATCTGAGAATCGAATTCGGAAACCCAAATATGTTCCATAACCACCCATTGCGAAGAGCACAACTGCCTGCAATATTAGAAGAGAAAGAAGGTATTAGAGGAGTTGTCAATGAGTACCCGATCCTGATCTACCTAGCTCCAGGATAATCTAGGTTCAAGGTTTTGGATTAGATCAACATTATGCCCAGCTTCAGGTTCATGCATAGAGCAGACTAGGAACCTGTTTAGTCTTATTTTTTAGGGCTGTCAGTGGAGTCCTGAAGTCCAAGATCTAAATCTGATAATCTTATTAGGATTTAATGCATTTGAGATTTGAGCCCAGTTAAATTCTATAAATATGTATATATATCATAAATGTAAATATGCATAATTATGCATTAGATAATAATAGGATAAATTTCTTAAACTATACTTATGATTTAGTTACTATTTGACTCTTAAAACTATACTTGTGATTTAGTTACTATTTGACTAGTCTAATGTTACCCTTAACTGTGTTTTACAATTGACTAGCTCTATCCTTACCGAACCGTTGACACCACATGAAGTTTAAAATTTTTTAAAACCCAATATCACCCTCGTCCCCTTCCTCTCGACCGGCACGGCACCCCTTCCTCCTCCGACCTCTTTCTCTCTTCCCTCCATCTTTCCCTTTCTTCCTGTTCTCCTTCTTCTTCAAACTTGCCCTCGTTATTTCAGGTTAGGCTTCTTGAGACTGAGATCAGAAGCCGATCCTGCTCGGAGACCCAATTTATGGGTGACTTTTCCCCATAGAGAAAGAGAGAGAACTCCCGGAAGTCCGAGAAAAGCAGTGAAAGAACTCCCCGGAACCATTGCTTCGTGAAGAAGATTTCCCGTCATTAATATTCCATTTCTGAATTCAAAAGTATCTTTTATGATTCCCGGCTTATTCTCATTGCAATTCCCAGATCTGCTACTGGAACACAAAACCCACTCCTTCTATAGAAGCCAATCGATGTAAAGGCTACAGTTCGATCCCAAACCAGCTGCCTGATGCGAAACTCATAGGATGGGTATGCTTCAGAAGAAGCGCCTGAAGGGGTCTCCAATTGAAGAGATGGCTCAACGGGATGTGGTGTCATGGACTACCATGATTGGAGCTTATGTACTGAACGATTATGCAAGAAGCCAAGAAGTGCGATGGCACTTTGTCATCAGATGCAGGTGGAAGGAGTAAGTCCCAATACTAGCTTCGTCTGTCAATTCGACTTCTTTTTCTTAAAAGGCATATGAAAGAAGGTCTGATACTGATAGGGATGCCTTTGCCTAAAGCTTAACTTTTCTCAAAAATTAAAGAAAAAAGGAAATTGTACTCATTTCTGTGGCTTCAGTATTCCTTCTTTAAGGTTTTAGTTTTTTTCTCTTCCGTTGAGCTTGTGTGGTTCACACCTCCGAGAAACTACCGCAAGAGATCCTTCATACATCTATGTGCCTTAGATTGATGACAATCTGATTTGATTGGATTCAATTTTTTAATAAAATTCTCAACTCCATTGTATCATCTGAAATCTTCGAAATTGTATACAACCAGACCTCTCCATGCACTCATCCCAGCTTGCGAGAAGCAATTCTCCACGTGGGATTTAGTTGGTTAGGTGGTTACTCTGTTTGTTGAATCACTTGCAGCTGCCATGAGCAACTTGTTATTTATCTATAAATTCTGATCGAATGAAAAACATTATCATTCTTTTTTTTTTTTTCTCTAACAAAATTTAGAGATTCCTCACATTCCGTTTCGTCTAGTTATAGTCTGTGGGAAGAGAATAAAAGTTGCATAACTTGGCTTGATTCAAAACCGTTGACATCGGTGGTGTGTATAAGCTTTGGTAGTTTAAAAAATTTATCCTATATAATTTGTAATTATATGAAGTTTATAATTGATGAAATCGTTATTTTGTATTTATATAAATTTATTCTATATCTATCAGTCAAAAATTGATTAGTTTTTTTTTTTTAATTTTTTGATTTTTTTCTTTATTCCAAAAATGATTAAGCAGATCTGGATTAAATCCAAAAATCTAGAAGTCTGATAAGATCAAAATCTTATCAGAGAAGTGCAATTAAATTTTGGGTCGAATTTGGATGTGGCTGGAACTGATCCGAATCCAACCAATTAATGCCCCAAAGAGTGGCAGCAGTGGATCGAGTTGGGCCGGCCGCTTTGGCCCGGACCATGCACATGGATATTTGGCCCTGATAATTAACATCATCGGGTTATAGAGATAAGATGCAATGCTAGAACAAAGAGTGGCAGCAATGGATGGAGTTGGGGCAGCCGGCCGGACCAGACGAGACCAGACGCCAAAATGGGTTGGGTCAGGTTGAACTAATTCGGGTTGGAAGGAAGAACAACCCGTGTTTGATTCCCCGGGTCAAAAGCCCCAGAGCAACAGAAAAATGAAAGAGAAGAAAGGAGAATTGGAGAATTACTGAATTACCATGTTGCCCGGATGACCCCAGTGGACCAGCCAATCGGGAAGATTCCAGCTCTTAACGAGTTCAATGAAGGGCCCGATCAAAGACCTCACAGTTGCAGCTGCGATTGTCAAAGGGTTCACAAAACCAGAGTTTGAGCTACAATCTCTTAATCCATGGCTATTCATTCTCTCTTAATTCAAACTAGAATTGTTCGTGATTTGGAAAAGAAGCAGAGAGTTATTACCTCCAGGTAGAGTGCCCAACAATAGAAGGCAAAGCAAGGGAGAGAAGGAGTACAAGAGCGTCTCGCTGCTGTGCTCCTTCGTTATTTCTTCTTCTTGGGCCTGCGACTCCACTGCTTCGCAAATTTCCTTCTTCGTCGTTGAGTATGACGGACTCAGAAGCACTCTTCTTGTTGCAGTGAACGGGCAAGGCCAGGATGTGGAAGGAATTCTTGAAGGAAATGTGGAATGAGGAAAGTAGGGCAAGCGCGTTGGAGGATGAAGAGTGGCCTGTGCACGCAGACTGAAGGACGCAGCCGCATTCAGCATTGCCATTTTGCTTTCTATCTTCCCTTTCTGTTGTTTGTGATTTAGGGTTTGGAGAGAATTGGTTGCAGAGAGAGAGAGAGGGTGGGAGTTGATGGTTGTGAGTGAGAGAGTATGGTTCGGGAGATAAATTGATAAAGGTTTGAAACAGAGAGCAAACAGGGAAGGCGAGAAAGAGGACACGACAGTCCGATGTTAACCTACTTCCCCGTGTTCTCAACACGCTCGCTCTTAGGGCTACAAATGGGTCGGACCGGTCAAAAATCCGGTTCCCAAATCCACCCGATTCAGATAACCAATTCGTTTCCCCTAAAAAAGAACTAATTCATTCATAAAATAAACATAAAAGATACAAAATTCTCTTAAACTTAACAATTCGTTCATAAACCAATCATTAATACAAATACACACATAAATATGTAATTGGATCATATCAAATTATAAAAGATCCGAATTGGGTCCATTTGGATCAAATTATATACCATTGAAGGTTTTTTTTTTTCTTTCTTTTCTTTTCTTTTTTGTTTTGACTAATGGAAAATCATTGAAACGAGAGAGCATTCAAATTTAGGGGTGTCAATTGGACTGAATTTGGTCAATCCGATCCAGTCGGATCAGGTCCAATCCAATCCAATGAATATTTTGGACCAATTTGAATTGGTCCAATTCAATGTTTGGACCATTCAATCTTTTCAAATTCATTTTGATTTAAATTGGTTTCAACCTAAACCCGGTCCATTGACATATATATTTTTATCTTATATCAATGGATCAGATATTGGCTTAATCCAACCCAATCCAATATAAATTTGTAACGGATGGACCAGGTCCAATCCAATCTAATAAATATTTTAGACCGGATTGGTCCAATCTAATATGTTTTGTTGGTCTGCCCAATCCATCCAAATTGATTTTGGACCGGACGGGGTCCAATCCAAAACTGGTCCATTGACACCCTTACATTCAACTATATACCATACATGATCTATAATATCCACTGGATGTGTTTTCTTTTTTTATTCTTATTCTCTCAATCAAAAAATAAAGGTTAGTTTCTCCCGGATTTGTTTGTCCACATTGTTATTTAGGCCAAGTTTGGAAGGAGTAAAAATACAAATAGTAGAGTGCAAAACTTTGTATTTTGTATGTATTTTGACTGTATATATTTGTATTTGTATTCCTTTCAAACTGAGCTTAGGTGCTCATTTGGGTGGTCTTTCATGCAGCAACTTCTGGCCTTATGTGGATTGAGGAAACCTGGAATACTGTGAGTTATGTTTGGTAAAAAATTTAGAATGCTGAAATAAGGCTTAGGCCATATTTGGGAGTGCTTATATTAAAAATAAGTGCTTAAAAACAAGTGCTTATTTGAATAATCACTTATTTATATTTGGCATCTAATTTTTTCAAGTGCTTATTTTAAAAAATAAGCACTTATTTCATATTGGACGTTTGGTTCTCTAATAAGCATTTAAATAAGCATTTGTGAATATTTTGTCATTCTTTTTCTTTTTTCAAAATATACCCTTATGAAAGTATTTTATAAAAGTACTTTTACAAAAGTGCTTTTATGAAAGTACTTGATGAAAACACTTTAATAAAAGAACTTTTATAAAATTCAACTAGGGATAATTAGTGGTATTTTAAAATTCAACTAGGGATAATTCTGAAAGAAAAAAAAAGAAAAACTGAAGTAAAAAAAGCTGAAAGTTTGGGCTTAAAAGGCTTATTTCCCAAACACCAATAAGTGTTTAATGGTGTGGTCCAAACCCAAATAAGCACTTATTTTTAAGCAGTCCCAAACATGGCCTTAGATGAACCACAAAATTAACTTACCTATTGGGATGGCTAATATTTGACCTTGAATATGTTCAAGGGACTAGGGTGATGTTTGGCATTGGTGATGATTCCTCATACCTGATTTTGTGAAAATCAATAAGTACTAAAATCAATGGTTTTTCAAAAAATCACTCTTTTTTTTGTAATTTGGTATCATTTCCTCCATGTCAGCCGATTTTTTATAAATCACTTTTGAGATTGTTTGGTAGATTTTTGTTGGATTGAAGTCTTTGTATGTATGAGTATTCGGCTGATAAGAGTTCTTATTAGCCTATACTTAAGTTTAAGTTGTCTTGTACTGGGCCTTT